CTCTACTTCCTTCCTCACATTTGGTACCTGACAAAGACTAATTTTCTTTACCTTTGCCACATTGCCCGCCTCCGCCCCATCTCACAAAAAAACACCACTGAAGCTCTCATTCACTCCTTTGTTACCTCCTGATAACTTCTCTAACTCACCTCTCACCAGTCTCCCCTATTCCATCATGCACAAGATGTACCTCATTCAAACCTACTGTATGCATCCTTGCCCGCACCAAACTCTGCTTGCCTATCAACGACAACAAAATTACATTTGTATTGCGCCGTTCACATTGGGAGGACATCCCAAGGCGCTGACCCCTATCCTGGTTAGGGACTGGATGTGGGATGGGAAGGTCAGTGGCGGATAAAAACTTGTTGTCAAAGGTGTGCACAGGTTGGGTGAGTGTGAGGGATAAGCGGGGAAGGTTAAGGAGTTCAGAACCGCAGGTGAGAACATGTCGAAGGGAACCAAGGAGGATGGCTTCTGTCTTGTCTGTGTTCAACTGCAGAAAGTAGGAGCTTATCCATGCCTTAGTGTCAGAAAAGCATGCAGTCAGAGCATCGGTAGGACTGGGCTCATGACTAGAGGAGGAAAAATAGATTTGTGTGTCATCTATAAAGATATGGAAGTTGATCCCATGAGATGATGACATTGCTGAGAGGGAGCATGTAAATGAGAAAAAGGAGTGGCTACACTACAGGTGGCCATGTGGGGGCAAGAGGAGACAAAATGGTGGCGCTGTGTCAAGTATGACTTGAACCAAGAAAGGACAGTACCATTGAGGTGGATAAAGGAGGACAGATGGTCAAGGAGCAGGCACAGTCAAAAGCAGAGAAGAGGTTCTGGAAAATAAGGGGGCAGAGGGAACCCTGGTCGCAGAGACAGAAGATGTCATATGTGACCTTGATGAGTGCTGTCTACGTGTCTACATGAAGGGCATTGCTTATAATATAGCTTTTATGGATTCTTCCTGAACCACTGTTTATGGTAGGGCATTTCATATCTTAACAACCCTCTGTGTAATAAAAATAACCTTTCCCTTGTTTGTTGATGATCTTAAAATTTTTGACTTATAGAAATAATTTCTCCCTGTTTACCTTATCATAACCCATCATAATTCTGAAAACCTCTATCAGTGCTACTTTCAACCTCTGGTCTAATGAAAATAATACAAATTTCTTATCCCTTTTATCATCCTAGTAAATCTCTGTAACTTTCTTCAGAAGATAATGAAGAGGGAATAATGGAACATAAGAAATGCTAGACGAAAAAAAGACCAAGGTCAATCTTGCTCATCTTCCACCCATCTGGTGGTTGCAGGTACATATGTCCCAAACTATCTATGTACTATATTCTATAATGTTATTTCCTAAAAGAAAACTATCTCATCTGTGTTTGAAGGAATCAACATTTCCTGCTTCAACTGTCTCCCTAGGGAGCCTGTTCCACAGGTTTACTATTTGCTCATTGAAACAGTGTTTGCGTAGATTTGTTCTGAAAAACATGAAAGAGAAATAGAAAGGAAATAAAACAGAAACATTTTTATTGTTTGATTAAATGTTCTGGGATTGATGGAAAAAGACTTAGCAAAAATAGATCAGGGCACATATAGCACGTCCGTGTGTTCATTGGCTTAATGCCTGGAACATGTCTCACGTAAACCATGATAACCAAGCAGAGACTATTGATAAGAAAATTGCCTGGTTCGATTCTGAGCCAGCTAAGTACAAAGTTTACAACAACAGCAACAACAAGATTACATTTGTATAGCACCTTTCACATCCGGAGGACGTCCCAAGGCGCTGGACAGTGTACAGCATTTCAGTTCAGATGAGGAAAATGAGAGGCTGACCACCAAAGAACGTTGTGAAGAAAAAGGTAAACTGCAGTAGATTGGGGGCAATAGCACAAGTAAGGAAGCAGAGGGAGTATGCAGATTATCAGTCTTCCAATAGAGCAAAGATTACTTTTCCACATTCACAAAGAGCATATCCAGGAATCTGATCTGTGCAGCTGAAGGTTTAGAGTCATAGCAAGTGTAAGGGAACAGGAGCCTGCTAAAATGGTGCTTATTTAACGGTTTAAGGCAGAATAAGGTGAAGGGGAGCTTTTTACATTATCAAATGTACATTACCAGCAGGTGTAAGGGTGTATAGACATATCAAAGGAACACCAATAGCAGAAAGGTTTTTGGAATTTTATGCACTACAAGCTACAAAAAAGCATACCACATAAATCATATATCCACTGTTCTGTACAAAGTGAATCTCAATATTTCATGCATCAACATCCACTTAGGTATTATCCACCAACTAAAACTTAGCTAATCTTCCATCTTTCCTTATTTGGAGTCCTGTAGCTCAGTGGTTAGAGCACTCGCTTTGCAAGCGAGAGACCTGAGTTCAATTCCAGGCAGGGCGAAACCTTGGGCAAGTTTCCTTACTCCACACGCCTAATAATAATCCTTCCAAAAAACAAAAACAATAATAAATTGGCCATTTTCAATCTACGACTGTTTGTGGGACATTGTTGTGCGCAATTGGCTGCCACGTTCTCCCACAAATATACAGTCAATTCACTTTATAGTGTGTTCTGTGAAGCGCTTTGGGACGTCCTCCCGACATGAAAAGCGCTATATCAAATGCAAGGATTATTATTATTATTATGTAGAGTCCTGTAGCTTCGTGGTGAGAGCACTCATCTTGCAAGTGAGAGAACCCAGGTTTGATTCCCGAGAAGGGCAAAACCTTAGGCAAGTTTCCTTACTCCATGCACCTCTGTTTACCTTGCGGTAAGTAGGAATGAGAGTGTCCAAATCTGCCTAGGAATGTTGCAAGCCATCATCTTGAATTGCTGCTCAGTGGGGCTGCTGTTTTCCATGCTGGGAACAGGTGCTGCTTTACAGGTGATGACTTACGTCATTATCTTATAAAGAACTTCAAAAATTGTCCCAAGGACATAGGTCACAAATAATGATAATCCTTGCATTTGATAAAACGACTGAGGTAAGATGCCTCAAAGTACTTCACAGGATATGCTGTAAAGTGGTTTGACTGTATATTTTGGGAGCAAAATGCCCACAAAAACACCCACTATGCCCACATAGGGGCCACGTTTGTAGACAACACCTTCCCAGTCATTACATTATTTTAGGCCCAGATGAATAGATGCATAAAATGCCATCCTATTTCAATAATTAAGTCAATAGTTAGGCCAGTATTCCTTCTCCCCAGAAGACTTGCACCTTCTGTGAGGTAGTTGTTGGCAGTCTCTTGTTTGGAGCTATTGTTCTCCCTGTGTTTCTTCATGACTGTGTATGTCGCCTTTTGATGTTACTATTCTGTTGTAGCCTGTGGCTTACTTACCTTCACCTTCTACTAGTAAAAATAGAATTTTTCTAATCCAGATTCTGGGAAACTATTCTTGTTTTTGAAGAGTAATTTTCTGTGGCATTTCATTCAGTGACAGCTAGGTCAAGTTCAGATCAAGTACCCTTATTTTCTCTTCTTAAAATGATAAACTAACATAATTTAATCTAGTTTAGCGCTACATTTAGTAATGCGGTAAATTACCATGCAGCACATTTTGGCAGAGTAATACCTTCAGCTGAACATTGAACAATGATAATTTGGAAAGTGTTCAACAGAAGGTGACAAGAATGGCTCCGAGCTTTAGGATTCTATATGATGAAGAAAGGCTGGCAGAGCTGAACCTTTTTTTTACATTGGATAAAAGAAGAATAAGGGAGGCATGGTTCAGATCTTTAAAATGCTGAGAACTTTAGATAAAGTAGAGATACACAGAGTATTTGACTTAGAGAATAAGTCTATTTGACTGATTTGACTGATTTAGACATTAGTCTAAAATTAACAGGTCACAAGTGAGACTAGAAATAAAAAGGATTTGTTTCTGTCTCATAGAGGAGTTGATGTTTTTGATAGTGATTGTGGATAACTGATGATCTCCACTGATTCAAAGACCCTCTTCACTCAGATTGCTGTTGCAAATTGAATCCAATGAAGACAAATACACTACATGAGAGAGAAAGGAACAGCGGGATATAGGCATGGGTGATTAGCAGGAGTGGAGGTTCATGTGGAGCAAGTTTCCTTACTCCACATGCCTAATAATGATCCCTCCAAAAAAAATAATAAATTGGTCATTTTCAATCCACGACTGTTTGTGGGACATAAGGACATAAGAACATAAGAATTAGAGCAGGAATAGGCCATTCGGCCCCTCTAGCTTGCCCCGTCATTCAATAAGATCATGGCTGATCTATAAGTCCACCTACCCGCCTTATCCCCATGTCCCGACACTGGTGTGCGCAATTGGCTGCCGCATTTCGCCCACAAATATACAGTCAATTCACTTTACAGCATATTCTGTGAAGAGCTTTGAGACGTCTAGAACGCGTGAAAAGCGCTATATCAAATTCAAGGATTATTATTATTATTATTATTATTATGTGGAGTATAAACACTGGTCCAGATTATTTGGGCTGAACGGCCTATTTCAGTACTGTAGATGCAATGTAAATAGTAATAATAACCTTTGTATTTGATATTACATCTTATTATCTCATTGAAGTGTCTCAAAACGCTTCACTGGATTTATTGTAAAGTATAGGATGCAAGTGCAGACCCTGACACAAAAAGCATTGGAGAGGCAGGGGGAAGGCTGAGCTCTTGGGATTACTTTGCTCTGCATCGTCGATTACTGCATTTCGACAGAGGAGATGTTGGACTTCATTCAATGTCATCCCACAATCACAGAATGCAATCGAAAATTATAACACAGGAGGCTATTGAGTCCACCTAGCCTATGCTTATGCTGATGCTTGCTAGTTTTTCCACTGATAATTCTTTCCACTATCCATTCCAATCTCAATGTTCAACACAGGTAAAGGATTACAAAGCAGCTTAATTTTTTTACCAACTTGTCCTTTGCTCCATTTTATTACAGGTGTAAATCTGTCATGGTCAGTTTTCATCAAATCTGAGAGGAGGAAACCAATAAAACTGAGAGAAGTATTTAACTGAAGTTGCATAAGATAGTTTTTACTTCTAAAAGAATGAAGAAGAGTGAAGCTGGAGAATAGAATTTTGTTCGTCCTGTAGTTAAAAGGAACTGTTTTTCTATTGACTTGGCAGTGCTTCAGGTTATGCTCAATTGGATTACACTGTTGTGTTTGAGTGAGTTTCTGTGTGAATGAAATTTTGTTGGTCTCTTCACTGCTGTGTTTAGAAGTCGTTTGTGCAATGTTTGCCTTAGCTGCTTACAGTATATTATTCATTAACTCTGTGCTCAGTCAAAATGTTGCTCCAAAGGCATTCGTTGAGGACATCCTTAACCAATATGGTAACGATGAAACACTCACTGCAAAGCAACACCACAAACTACTGGATAAATTGGGAATTGTCAATGTGCAAAAAACAGATGCAGACGCATTGGAGGACATCATAAAATCACGGATAAAGGTAAGGAAATGCAAAGGTTAGTCAATACTAAAGCAAATATCCAGAAACAGGTAACAATTCATGGCACTGTAAGGTTGGTACAGTTAATTGGAAAGGGTATATGCTAGGCAAAGAAGAATCCAATATTTCACTTATTTTAGTGATACAATATATTAGTTTTTCCTAGTGTTTTTCCAGAATGAAGGATAATGATCATTGCACTTGATATTGTACCTATTTAATTGAGAACGTCTCAAAGTACTTTGTAGCATTTCTGGAAAGAGTAGTGACTGTAAATCTATAGGTGAACGAAGGACCGCACTACCGACAATGCAGCACTTCCTCAGTACTGCTGGCAAGTGTCCAAAGGAAGGTGACAAAGATGACTCCAAACTTTAGGATTCTATATCATGAGGAAAGGCTGGCAGGGCTAAACTTTGTAAAAAAAAAATTGTAAACTACTTCTAATTAGAGCAGATTACTGATGTAAGAACTAATGATACTGTGAAGCCCTGAGTATTCTATATCCTAGATATATTACACAAAGTGTTACTTACTGCATAGATTGAGGATAACCTGGGCACAAGTTTGATCAATGTGAACTGGACAGTAATACAGAGGAACAAAATACTGTATTATTTATGGGGCTTTATTCTTTCCTCAGTCTGCAGTATCTGTACCACTCAAGTTCTGTATTTGCTGTGTAAGTTATTGCAGTTTTTCCTTTTGTGTTGCAGTGCTTGTCCTCTGCAAAAACATTACACCTGAGGGAGCAGAATGCCTCAAATCAAGTGTTGCCCAAAGATTGGAGAAATATCTACAATACTATTCTACAGAAAACAGTGGTTGAGTCTTCACGCATCTCAAGTGAGACAGTAAAGAAAAAGCCATCTGCCACCGAAGGTAAAACATGCCCCTGCACGCTTCATCTTAGTACTGCAACCATTTCTTTTAAGAGCGTAAGTGAGTAAACTTGATTGTTTTGATTCTGATGTGAAGTAAAAGCTCGCTGATAACAATCAAAATGGACTTCAGCCAAAATGACCAGGTAGATACTGAGGTGCAGTATTGTGTGAGTAGCAAATTGGCCCACAAGTGAGCTGAAAATGCAGTATTACTGTAAAGATCAAAAGCAAGATGTTAGCATCAGAAAGTGGCCTGACCACCAGTAGTAATGTAATTCTCCACACATAGATCTCAACAGCATAGAAACAGACCATTTGGCCCAACTAGTCCACATGAGTCTAAATGGTCCGAGCTTCTCGTGCCAATCGCAGTAATACTCAACTATCGTAATAATTAATAATAATAATTCTTACATTTGATATACAACAACAAGATTCCATTTATAAAGCGCCTTTCATGTCGGGAGGACGTCCCAAGGCGCTTATAGGGCCTTATAATAATAATAATAATAATTCTTGCATTTGATATAGCGCCTTATCACGTCTTCTAGACGTCTCAAAGCGCTTCACAGAATATACTGTAAAGTGAATTAACTGTATATTTGTGGGCAAAACGCGGCAGCCAATTGCGCACAGCAATGTCCCACAAACAGTCGTGGATTGAAGTGACCAATTTATTATTGTTTTTTTTCTTGAGGGTTATTATCACATCTTCAAAACATTTCAAAGCACTAACATTATTTACTGTAGAGTGCAATGACTATTTTCTAGGCAAATATCTATACTAGTGTGAATTGTTGGGATATTACTCCTGACAGAATGGTCACTAGGTATTAAGGGCAATATATGGATGTGGATTCAAAATTGGCTGAAGGAAAGGAAGAAGGGGAGCGAGGTCAAAATATGAAGAGTTCTAAATGGGGTGCCTCAGGGGTCTGCCCATGGGCTAATAACTGACAAATGAAGTTTAATATTAATAAATGTAAAGCACTGCATATAGGAAACACAAGTGCTCATGAATGGACAGAACTTGCCATTGGGGATGCTGAAAGAGATCTAGGAGCGTTAGTTAACTTGTTGCTCACTATGTCAAAACAGTGTGAGGAAGCAATAAACAAGATAAACAGGATTCTGGCCTGTATTGCTAGATCAGTTGCGTTTAGATTGTGCTGACTTGTCAGAAATCCTTAATTTTAGTCTTGATTTGGGAGACAATTCTTTATAAGAACTGCACGAATACGGTATCCAAAGTAAGATTGTATTAAAACAACTTCCACCATTCTGTATGATCTGAAATTTAAAGACAAAATAGTCTTAGAGTCTAAGATTAGGTTGCATTTCAGAATGAAAATTGAAGGTTTTGCACTAAATTAGCTAATCTCAGCTCGGGCCGAAATAGGCGTGTTACAAAGTCTCTTTTAAAATTGCATTTCTATTGTTATCCTTTGCCAAATACAGTTAGTATTTGACAAAGGATTGTCAAAGTCCTGATTCGTAGAGTCATGTAGTTTAGTGGTTAGAGCACTCACCTCACAAGCGAGAGGACCTGGGTTCAACTCCTGGCAGGGCGAAACATTGGGCAAGTTTCCTTACTCCACACACCTCTGCTTACTTAGCAGTAAGTGGGAACCTAGTTGTTAGTCGATTGGTGGATTGCTTTTCAGGGGATAATAATCCCTAAAAAAAAGCAATAATAATTTGGTCACTCAATGCACGACTGTTTGTGGGACACTGCTCTGCACAATTGGCTGCCCCTTTTTGCCCACAAAATATGCAATCAGTTCGCTTTACAGTATAATCTGTGAAGTACTTTGCAATGTCTAGAAGACGTGAAAAGCGCTATGTCAAGTGCAAAGATTATTATTATTATAAGTAGGAACCCGGTTGTTACTTGATTGGCAGATCGCTTTTCCGGGGGTAGTAAGCTCTTAAAAAAAATTGGGCACTCAACCCACGACTGTTTGTGGGACACTGCTGTGCACAATTGGCTACTGCGTTTCGCCCACAAAATATAGTCAATTCACTTTACAGTATATTCTGTGAAGCGTTTTGAGATGTCTCAAAGATGTGATAAAGTGCCATGTCAAATGCAAGGATAATTATTATTTTTTAATTCTGTTCTGTTCACAGTGTGGGGTTTCGGGTTCCTGACTGTCACTATCATCAACCTTACCTCCCTGTTTGGTGTTGCACTTATTCCTCTCACCAAAAAAACATATTTTCCAAAGGTTATGATCTGCTTTATGGGCCTAGCCATTGGGTCAGTTTTCTCCAATGCTATTTTACAACTTATTCCAGAGGTAAGGAGCTTTCTGTGTCAGTCGGTGCTGCCGTCCATTATGAAGAACATTCTTCAATTAAGAGTCTGTCACCCTGAGTTCTTGTGGTAAATTTAGCGCTTTTCACAAATAATCATCATGTTTGCTTTGTGGTCAGCCAAGTGTCAATATTGAGTCAAACGTAACTTGAATATTAAACTTAATATACTATCCCATCCATGGAGCACTTGTGTTTCCTATTCTTGGATGCTATACTTAGTACTTTATAATTATCAATATTAAACCTCACTCTGAAAGAATAACTGTTATGATATGAATTTGCCAGTTTCAAGAATGTCCCATACACCTTCCCTAAAACCTTCCAGCAAATGGGAAGTGACCGAGACAATCACGGGCTGGGATGTGCAGGAGACCTGCGGAGTCCTGTAGCTCAGTGGTTAGAGCACTCACTTTACAAGCGAGAGACCTGAGTTCAATTCCAGGCAGGGCGAAACCTTGGGCAAGTTTCCTTACTCCACACGCCTAATAATAATCCCCCCCCAAAAAATAAACAATAATAAAATTGGTCATTTTCAATCTACGACTGTTTGTGGGACATTGCTGTGCGCAATTGGCTGCCGCGTTCGCCCACAAATATACAATCAATTCACTTTACAGTGTGTTCTGTGAAGCGCTTTGGGACGTCCTCCCGACGTGAAAAGCGCTATATCAAATGCAAGGATTATTATTATTATTATTATTCCTTAGCTTGTGAGATTAACCAGCTCCAGTAACCTAGCAACAATGCAAGGAGGAGGAGAGATCCACTCTAAAGATATTTAGGTCAAAAAGCAGCAATAGTTGAAATATCAAAATTACATTTGTATAACGCCTTTCACGTCATGAGGACGTCCCAAGGTGCTTAAATGAAAGAATGAGTGCCTTAAACATAGTTGTTAAAAGAAACAGAGGGGAAGGGAGGAGAAATTTTTTCATACAGTGAGTTGTTCGGATGTGGAATGCATTGCCTGAAAGGATGGTGGAAGCTGATTTGATAACAACTTTTAAGAGAGAAGTAGATAATTATTTGGGGAGGACAAGTTTGCAGGGCTATGGGGAGAGAGCGGAGGAGTGGGATTGATTTGGATAGCTCTTTTCAAAGAGCCGGCACAGACACGATGGGCCGAATGGCCTCCTTCTGTGCTGTATAATTCTATGTTCTATGGTTAATCAGGGTCCCAATCATTTGCTGCCCAATCCATCACCATGGTTCCTGGCACAGTACATTAGCACTATATTAATATTAGTAATAAAAACCTTGGAAAAGATGGACTTTGAATAGGAAAATAATGCTGTAATGAATCCTACCCTTTAATGAGTAACGGTAAAGGATCTTACTCTAGTAATGTGGCAATGTTTGCAACAGAAAAAAAGATCTGCAGAATTTGTATTTTAACAAAACATGTCTTACGTTTCCCCCCACTCCAATTCCAGTAGTGTCAACATTTTTCTTGATAGAGAATTCCATGGAATTTAGACAGTTTTTAGCTCAAAGTACCAAAAGAGAGCTCAACTTCACAACCTTCTGACTCAGAGCTGAGAGTGCTATCAGTTGCACCAGGCTGATATCTAGAGGAAGGATTGTTTCCGTTACAAGATCCCAAGGACACTGTTTAGTGCTTCTTCCTGGTGAACCACATTCAGTTTATCTGCTTTAATCTCTCAGTGGTGGAAAAATAGTGAGGTGGAAAATGCAGCATGTTATAACATCACTCGCAATGATTGGACAGTCAAATACATTCGGTATTATCACTGGTTTCAGGGGGGAGATTTACCTCTGAACCCAGTGATAACTATTGACTGCTTCTGAGCGTAATTTGGTCAACATTCAGTGAGAATTATCATAAGGAATGAATCTGAGGGAATACTCATTTCCTTCCTCCTATATGTAGGCATTATGAATATCCCTGTTAGTGCTCTATAATTATAATTAAAATAACTACTTGGCATCCGTTATCCAAGGGCACAAATGTTGTGCACTTTATGGAGTTAGTTTAATGCGTTTCATTTTATAAATTTGAACTCTGAGGATTCTGGAATCCGGGAATGTGCCGGCAAAGATTGTTTGTTGCACTTTGCTGGTTCCAATATTAAATTATTAAACAAAGAAATAAATATTCATGCACAATTCTAATGTTTACAATTTACGATGTTCGACACCCTAGTGATAATTACCACAAGGAACACATTAACAAACAAATTTCATATCTTAATCCATTGCCAGCATAAACTCACCCAGCAATCAGTACATGTCCTGTAGCTCAGTGATTAGAGCACTCGCTTTGCAAGCGAGAGACCTGAGTTCAATTCCAGGCAGTGTGAAACCTTGGGCAAGTTTCCTTACTCCACACGCCTAATAATAATCCCTCCAAAAAAAAACCATAACAATAATAAATTGGTCATTTTCAATCTACGACTGTTTGTGGGACATTGCTGTGCGCAACTGGCTGCCGCGTTCACCCACAAATATACAGTCAATTCACTTTACAGTGTGTTCTGTGAAGTGCTTTGGGACGTCCTCCCGACATGAAAAGCACTATATCAAATGCAAGGATTATTATTATTATTATTATTATTATTATTATTATTATTATTATTATTATTATGATGATGATGATGATGATGATGTCGATGGCCGCATGTTTACCCCAAACCCCTCTCACCCCCACTCCCATGACCTCAACACAATGGTAGAGTCAAAGACAATCCCAAAGTAAAACTGCTTTGGGATTTAAAAATAGGGTTTCAACACCAGACAACAGGAAACTGACTAAATAAAGTTAAAGTTGGCTTTTTCTCCTTTTTTAGCGATTATTTGCCTGGATAGGGGTAATGGGGATAATAATCATAATCCTTGCATTTGATATAGCACCTTATCACATCTTTGAGATGTCTCAAAGCGCTTCACAGAATATACTGTAAAGTGAATTAACTGTATGTTTTGTGGGTGAAACGCGACAACCAATTGAGTACAGCAATATCCCACAAACAGTCATGGATTGAATGACCAATTTATTATTATTTTTTTTACGGAATTATTCCCTCCAGAAAAACGATCCACCAATCGACTAACAACAACAACAACAACTTGGATTTATATAGCACCTTCCACGCCGGACGGCATCTCAGAGCGCTTTAAGTAGGAACGCTTTACAACCGGGTTCCTACTTACTGCTAGGTAAACAGAGGCGTGTGGAGTAAGGAAACTTGCCCAATGTTTCGCCCGGTCGGGAATTGAACCCAGGTCTCTCGCTTGCTGAGGCGAATGCTCTAACCACTGAGCTACAGGAGGATATAGAGACTCCTGTTCCTGCCTCCTTTCTAAAAGTCTCTTCCAAAACTTTTTGTCTTGTAACTTCTCTCTCTAGCATGAAAATCCACTTAAAATGCATCTTTTTGTCATGCCTTTGGTCAATACCTTCCAATTTTCCCTAATTTCCTTTCTGGTCATCACCACAAAATACACACTTTACAGTGAATCCTGTGAAGATCTTTGGGATATCTTCCTGACATGAAAGGCAGTATATCAAATGAAACTACTACTACTACTATTATTATTGTTATTATTATTATTATTATTGTTGTTGTTATTATTATTATTATTATCATCATGCTCCTCATCTTTGTGGATTACTTCATGATGTTCATCCTATGAGAAAGGTAGAATTTAAGTGTAAGTTAACACAAAAGTCTCATTTAGGAGTTTAGGCACGAAAATTGTCCTTTAGTCCATTTTGCCTTAAAATGTTGATCCTTTTGCTTTTAATTATTGTGGAATTATAATGAGATATTTAAATATATTCCCAAATGACTGCATACTTCTCATATCTTTTGACAATGAGACCTATTTTATATGTAATATAGACCATAAGAAAATGGCTAATAAGGACAAACTTAAATAATTTGCAAATGTCTGCCCATTTCCCTTCTGCTTCTACTAAATATCTCTGTGTTTTTTTTAGGCATTTGGACTTATGCCCCAAGACAATGATTATATTTTGAAATCAGTGGTTGTGCTTGGTGGATTCTATCTCCTTTTCTTCATAGAGAAGATACTTAAAATATTACTTCAGCCTGATGAGCAAGTAAGACAAAAAGAATGTCAACCTTTGCTGTGCCGGTCATTGCCAAGTGTTATAAAATAAAGCAGAGGTGTTGTATGATGCAGAACCATACATGGCTCTCCTCACAATCATCTCTGGCCTTTGGAAAATGGACTGCTTCTCTCACGTGTTCCTTGGCTTTGGATGTTCACTAATTCCATGCTGATGCCTCCCATATTAACCTGTCCGCTTTTTCTGCTCAGCAGGCTCCGGCTTGCTCCATGTGCCCAGCCTGGCCTGCCCCAACATCGGCGGTCAGGCCTTCAACCTCTGAACCCCCACCCTTTGGAATTCCATCCCACATTCCCTTTGCCTCGCTCTCTCCCTTGACTCCTTCAAGGCATGTCTCAAGACCCTCCTCTTTGATCACGCCTTCGGCCACCTTCCTATCTTCTCTGCCCTCCACCCTTCCTTTCCCACCGCCCCCCAGCTCGGGTCCAAATCCCTGACTGTCCAGTGCCTTGGGACATTCTCTTAACTTGAAAGGAGCTATACAAATGTAATTTTGTATTGTATTGTTTTCTTACTCTTTCGCAACAGAAGGTTGGGCATTGCTATAATGAGGTGATGACACTTAGAAAATAGAGAGGAATGACAGGTACACAGACCTGTGACCCATCACTGCGAGTTCTAGCATTCATGACAGAATCTCTTGGTTGGGACTGTTACCCTCAACTGAACGTTCAACACTCACTCTGTTCTGTCCATTCCATGTAGTGATATTCTTGCCTTAGGTACTATGTTGTGTCACTGGCATAGGTTGCCAATTTGCTGCAGTGTACTTATAAGTACCTTTAATGAAATTTAAAGGTTTCATTTAATGTTTTTATGTATGCATGCATATCAAAATTACATGAGAGGTATGAGGATAACTACCACTGAGAGGTACTAAATAGAAAAATAGCTCACAGTAACCCATTCACTTCACAATGCATAGAATGATATAGCACGGAAACAGGCCATTCAGCCCAAACAATCCATGCTCATGTTTCTATACCACATAAGCTCCCACCCTTCCTATTCCCTTCTCCAATATCTCTATATGCCCTTCTTCCTCAATGTGAGCATCCAGTTTTCTCTTAAATACATTAATGCTTGTTTACTTCAACCACAGCTTCCAGCAGTGAGTTCAACACATTCTGACCACCCTCTGTGTGTTGAAATTCCTCCTGAACTACCTATTAGATGGAGTCCTGTAGCTCAGTGGTTAGAGCACTCGCCTCGCAAGCGAGAGACGTAGGTTCGATTCCCAGCAGGGCGAAATGTTGGGCAAGTTTCCTTACTCCACAAGCCTGATAATAATCTCTCAAGGTAAAAAAACCTAAATTGGTCACTTCAAACCACGACTATTTGTGGGACACTGTTGTGCGCAATTGGCTACCATGTTTTGCCCATACAGTGAATTCAATTTACAGTATATTCTGTGAAGTGCTTTGAGACGTCTCGAAGACGTGAAAAGCGCGATATCAAATGCAAGGATTATTATTATTAGATCTACTACCAGCAAACTTATATATATGCCTTCTCATTTTTGGCTCACTCACAAGTAGAAACATGTACCTTATAGAATTGTTTCAGAATCTGAAGAAAAATGAGATTGAAATAGAGAAAAAAGGTTTGTTACAATTACATTTTCCCCACATTCTTAATTAGCTGCGTACATTAAGCAAACATCAAAGTTGATTTTGTTTACTAGTATATGTAGCCAAATCCACACACACTTGTAAAGAAAGTTACAAAGAATATACAGCACGGAAACAGGCCACTTGGCCCAACCAGTCCGTGCACATACACCACTTAAGTCTTCATTTATTTGTTACTCCCTCCCATACTCTTTTATTCCCCTCTCGGTCATGTGAAGGTCTAGCTTCCTCTTGAATGCATATACACTAGCTGATTCAACCACCACTTTAGGCAGTGAGTTCCACAGTCTCACCGCTCTCTGTGTGAAGTAATTGCTCTTAATTCTCTGGTCGCAATCTTAAATTTGTGTCTCTTGTTGCAGACTCCCCAACCAGTCGAAACAGCCTATTTATGTTAACCCTTTTATAATTTTAAACATTTCTGTTCGCACCCTTCACATATCTCTTCTCCAACGAAAAAAGGCCCAGTCTATTCTGACAGCAGTAAACTGTCAGCCCTGGTATCATCCCCTACCTACCTGCCCGTACTCTCCGTTCCTCTGGCTCCGGTCTGCTCCACGTCCCCCGCCCCAACCGCCCTACCATCGGTGGTCGGGCCTTCAGCCTCTCAGCCCCGAGGCTCTGGAACTCCATCCCCCAGTGCCTTCGCCGCCTCCTCCCTTTCTCCTTCAAGGCCGGTCTCAAAACCTTTCTCTTTGACCGAGCCTTCAGCTCCCCTCTCGACTCTCTTCCCCCTCCTCGCCCCTCCCTTCCCTCCCCTCACCCTGACCATTTCCCCCCTCCTCGCTCCCTCCCTCCCCCTCCCCTCACCCTGACCATTTCCCCCTGCTCGGGTCATGACCCAACTGTGCAGCGCCTTGGGACGTCCTCCTGACGTGAAAGGCGCTTTATAAATGGAATCTTGTTGTTGTTGTTGTTGTTAAACTTACACTGTACTCTTTCCATCGCTTCTATATTCTTCTTATAGTGTGGAGACCAGAATTGGATATAAAGCCCAATATCCCATTGGCCTTTTTATAGCCTTATCTACCTGTGTAGCTACTTTTAGAGAGTTGTGGATCTGAATCCCCAGATCTCTTTGCTCCTCTATTCCTATTAGATTCCAACGGTTTCTTTAATTTTCTTGCGGATGTGAATTTTGTTGCATTTTCCTATATTAAACTTCATTTACCAATTAAGTGTTATTTGCCATGTCTCCTGTTCTTACTCATTGTATCTTTGTTCATGTAGCACCACAGTCATTTTAGGCTTCCTGATCAACAAGCTTCTCATGAGAAGAATGGTGGTATTTCGATGGTGATCCAGACAAATATAATTTCTAATCCTGGCAATGACACCATAGTATTAGAGAGTCCAGTGAATCACTCGTGGAATGAAAACAATATTGCTACTCAGGTAACAATACCCAAACATTGTTATGAAACATTGTTATGAATTTAAGAACAAAATGTAACCTAGAATAAAATATGACTATCCAGTCCATACAGCCCACTGAACAAGTTTTTACATGTTTTGTTTGATTTACTTGTTTCCTCAACTGAACTGTATGCCATCAATTGTGATGATTTGTTTTGTTTATAGTCAAGTGATATAACAACAACAACTTCCACTTATATAGCGCCCTCCATGCAACGGTAGCGACTCAGAACCTTAACAATGGCGGATCCTGACTCCGAGCCGGGGGTGGGGAGGGTGGGAGGTGGTCGTAAGCACGATCGAAGTGGAAGGTTTTCAAGCGGACTTGAAAAAAGGGGAAGAGGGGGCAAGGCAGAAGGATTGAGTAAGAGTGTTCCAGAGCTTCAGAGTATAGTGGCTGAATGTGTGACCTCCGATGGTGGGGCAGAGGGTGCGAGGGACGAGCAGGAGGCTGGTGCCAGTTGCACGGAGGCGCTGAGTGTTGGATTGGGGACTGAGGAGGTTGGTCGGAGAGGTAGGGAGGTGTCAGGGAGTGATGGGATATGAACATGAGTGTAAGGATCTTGAAGTCGATCCATTTGGTGATGGGGCATCAGTGGAGTCTGGCCAGAACTGGTGAGATGTGGGTACGGCGTTTGGTCCAGATCAATACGTGGGCGCCAGAGTTTTGAATGAATTGGATCTTTTGAATAGTGGAGCTGGGGAGACCAGCGAGGAGTGCATTTGAGTACAACAACAACAACAACAACAACTTGGATTTATATAGCGCCTTCCACGCCGGACGGTGTCTCAGAGCGCTTCACAGTAACGGATCCCAGGCCCGAGTCAGGGGGAGGGGGAGGAAGGTGACCAAAGGCGCGGTCGAAAAGAAAGGTCTTCAGCAGAGACCTGAAAATAGGAAGAGAGGGGACGAGGTGAAAGGAGTGAGGAAGGAAGTTCCAGAGCCTCGGGGCACAGTGGCTGAACGCACGGCCGCCGAGGGTGGAGCGGAGGACTCGGGGGATGAGGAGGAGGCCAGACCCAGAAGAACGAAGGCAATGGGCACTGTCTTGAGGAGAGAGGAGGTCAGAGAGGTAGGGGGGTGTGGAGGAGTGCAGGGACTTGAATACAAGGGTGAGGATCTTGAAGTCAATCCTCTCTGGGACAGGCAGCCAGTGCAGTCTGGCAAGGACTGGGGTAACCGGGAGCAGAGTTTGGTGCGGGTGAGAATGCGGGCAGCAGAGTTTTGAATAATCTTGATTTTATGAATGGTAGTGGAGAGGAGGCCGGTGAGGAGGGTGTTTGAATACTCCAGCCGAGAGGTGACACAGGCATGGACCAAGGTTTCAGAGAGAGGTATTGGCTAAGACGGGTGTTGTGTCGGAGGTGGAAGAAAGCAGTGCTGATGAGGATCCGGATGTGGGAAAGGAAGGATAATTGTGGGTCGAATCTGATGCCTATGTTGCGTACGGGTTCGGAGAGTTCTAGGGGGAGGTTGGATAGGCAGAGGAGGTGGGAACCGTGAGATTTTAGATGTTGACGAGAGCCAAAGAGTATGGCTTCCGTCTTGTCAACTGTCAGCTGAAGGAAATTTGTGCCCTGAGATCGGACAGGCAGGCTGACAGAACATCAATGGACTGGGGGTCGCAAAGAGAGGTGGAAAAATAGAGTTGGGTGTCGTACGCATACATGTGGAAATGTACCTCATGTCTGCGGATGACATCCCCAAGAGGGAGCATGTAGATCAGAAAGAGGAGGGGGACAAGGATGGATCCCCGCAGGTAACCGGGTGAGAGTGGGAGGAGAAGCCGTTTGTGCAGATGTACTGCTGCCGGTTTGTGAGGTAGGACTCGAACCAGGCGAGTGTGGTCCCACTGAGGTGGATGATGGAGGAAAGGCAGTGGAGGAGGATGGCGTGATCGACTGTGTCGAACACGGTGGAGAGGTCCAGGAGGACAAGGAGGCAGAGGGAGCCCTGATCACAGATAGAGAGGATGTCGTTTGTGACTTTCACAAGCGCAGTCTCTGTACTGTGGGCAGGGCGGAAACCGGACTGGAGGGGTTCGATGAGGAAGTGGGAGGAGAGGTGTGCGCGAAGATGATTGCCAACAAGGGCTTCAAAAGGTTAGAAATAGGGCGATAGTGGCTGGGGTTTGAGGGATCTAGGGAAGGTTTTTTGAGGAGGGGGGTGATGACAGCAGTTTTGAGAGGGCAGGGACTGATCCGGAGGAGAGGGACTGGTTGATGACATCAGCCAATAGTGGGCAGAGGAGGGGGAGCTGAGTGACCAGCAAGTTGGTGTGGAGGGAGTTGAGGCAGCAGGTGCTGGGTTTCATGGAGGTGATGGTGGGTGAGAGGGAGGAGGGAGAAATGGGGAGGAAGGAATGTAGGATGGGTATGGTGGTAGGAGCAGATGATGGGGAGGATAAGGGGACAGAGAGGGGGTGGTGGTTGGTGACAAGGGACAGGTGGATGAGGCTGCCTGGTGGATGTTGTGTATTTTAGATAAAAAAAATTCCATGACTTACTCGCACTTGGCATTGGATATGAAGATTGAAGAGGCCTGTGGGGCAGCACGGAGGAGGTAGTGGGTGGTGGAAAAAAGGATTTTAGGGTTGTGTTTAGCCTCCAAGATGATGTTGGAGTAGAAGGTCGTTTTTGCGCGTGTCAAAAAACGGCGGTAGCTATGGAAATGCTCGAGCCACAGTTGGCGGTGAACTATCAGGCCAGTTTTCCGTCATCTGCGTTCGAGCAGCTGGGTTTGGGTTTTCAGGCGGCGGAGATGGTTGTTGTACCAGGGGGATCGGGTGGGATTGGAGATGGTCCTGGATTTCAGGAGGATGAGGGAGTTGAAGGTGGAGGAGAGGTGATCATGGAGCAGTTGGACGGCTGCTTCAGGATCTCCACGGGTGGAAGGCCAGAGGAATAGGATGTTTGATGATGAGAGGGCCTTTGTGAGGGTCTTGGGGGGTAGCCTTTTCTAAGGGCGGTAGAGGATGGTTGAGGGCTTGGTGGAGGAGAGAGGGATGTGGGAGGAGAAGGAAATGAGGAAGTGGTCCAAGATGGCCTTGTCCACTATGCTGAGGTCAGAAATGTCAAGGCCATGGGTGATAACGAGGTCAAGGGCATGACCACGGTTGTGGGTAGATGAATTTATATGAAGGGTGAGGTTTAGGGAGGAGAGGAGGGCAGTGAAAACGTCAGAAGTGGTGCAAGAGGAGTTTAGGTGGAGGTTGAAATCGCCCATTATGAGCAGGCGTTCGGAGCAGAGGGATAGGGAAGAGAGGAGAGTAGAGATGTCTGTGTGGAAGGAGCTGGGGGGCTTAGGGGGGTGGTAGACAAGGAGGATTTTCAATGGGAGAGAGGGGTGGAAGAGGGTGAGGTGCTCGAAGAAGGGGAAGCAGCCAGAGGGGTAGGGGATAAGACCAAGGGAGGCTTTGGAAATGAAGGCCACCCCGCCGCCATGTTGATTTGGACGGGTGGGTGTAGTGGAAGGTTTAGCCTGGAGGGTAGCCTTCAACTAGGGGGTCATTGGAGGAGAACCAGGTTTCGGTGAGCCCCAGAATGTCAAGGTGCTCGTCCAGGATGAGGTCATGGATGGTAAGGGCTTTGTTTGAGAGGGAAGGGACATTTTGAGCAAACCAGGCGGGAGGTGACAAATGCATGCACAAGGATTTTGCCTGCATTTTGGGTAAGGTAAGGTTGGAGGCGGGCAATGTGGTGGAGGTGGAGAATGGTGGTCCTGGTCAGGGACCAGATGTGGGGGAGGAAGGACAGCTGGGGGTTGAAGTGAAAGCTTAGATTGCGCACTGGTTCGATGAGTGTGAGGGAGAGCCCAGGGAGGTTGAGGAGTTTAGATCTGCAGGAGTGAAGACATTGACGGGAGCCAAGGAATATGTGCCAAGTGGATGTTCTCAATATTTGAGGCAAAGAAGTCTAGGAACTCTTCGCACTTGGCGTTTGATGTGAGGATAGAGGGGCTTGAGGGGGTGCACAGGGGAGGTGATGGACGGTGGAAAACAGCATCTTTGGGTTATTGTTTGCCTCCAAGATGACTTTGGAGTAAAAGTCAGTTGTGGCCTGCGAAAGGGAGAGGCGGTAGGTGAGGAGGTGCTCGAGCCACAGCTGGCGGTGAATCGTGAGACCAGATTTCTGCCATCTGTGCTCGAGCATCCAGATTTGTATTTTGAGTGAGCGCATATGAGTGTTGTACCAGGGGGAGCGGTGGGTTTGGAAACAACCCTGGATTTCAGGGGAGCCAGGAAATTGAAGGTTGTGGAGAAATAGTCATTCAGCAGCTTGATGCTACATCAGGATCACTGCTGGTGGAGGGCTGGAGGGAGAGGGGGTCTAAGGCACAGAGGGCATTTGTGAAGAACTCAGGAGGAAACTTTTTCCAGGGGTGGAAAATAATGGTGGAGGGCTTGGAAGAGGGGAGGGGGATGTGGGATGAGAGGGAAATGAGGAAGTGGTCCGAGATGGCCTTGTCTGTCAAGGACAGATCAGAAATGTCAAGGCCATGTATGATGATGAGGTTGAGGGAGTGGCCATGGTTGTGGGGTTTAGGGAGGAGAGGAGGACAGTGAAATCTGAGGAGGTGGTGCAAGCAGAATTTAGCTGGTGGTTGAAATCACCCATTATGAGCAGGTGTTCAGTGCAGAGGGACAGGGATGAGAGGAGAGAGGATATATCAGTGAGGAAGGAGCCAGGAGGTTTTGGGGGGGATGGGTAAACTAGGAGAATTTTGAGGGAGTGAGGGAGAGTAGGGATGAGGTGCTCAAAGGAGGAGAAGCAGCCAGAGGGGCTGGTGGGAGGATGGAGGAGAGAATGGTATAGAGAGGATTTGGGGTTGTGGGGGAGAAGTGAGCGTGGAGTTTGAGAAGCAGGGAGAGTTGGGGAGGATATGGATGAGGGAGGGGAAGGGGTGTTTGCTTTTTGGAGGCGGTTGCTGCGGAGAGAGTGAGTGATGGGACAGTTGATGTGGCTGCTCTGGGGACAACCAACACTGGGCCTGGTGGAGCATGCCCAGGCTGGAGCAGAGGGAGGTAATGGTGAAGTCCAAAAGAGAGAGAAGATGAGGAGGATGGTGGGAGAAAAGGACAGAGTGGGAGTAGCCGAGTGTGAGGGGTAGGAGCAGGAACATTTACAGGGGCCGCGGCTCGGGTCGGGTTGGCAGGGAAAACGCACACGCAGAGACTGGGAGCAAGCGATTAGCAGGACAGCATCAGCCCCTGGGCTATGGGAGACAGTTCAGTGGGGGCAGAGAGGAGATGGTGGCCATGGCTCAGGTGCCAAAGTCCAGGAGGGAAGGGAGGACAAGGTAGCAGAAGGATAGTGAAATATACCCTTGTGACGTCACACCGTGACATTCAGATGTTTTTTAGGCAGGGGATTTTTATCTATATACTAGATAAATATATAATATTTGAATATTAGAAATCTGTAAACAATGAGTCCCAAATTCCATCCAGTTTTGACTTGTTCAGACCATTTTGTCCTGAACAGTGGCAAGCTATGCGGTTTTAGCTGGTTAGACTCCAGCAGTACACCAACGCACACTCAGTTGTCCCCTCCCGGCTGACCCCCCAAAAATTATTTTGAACGTTAAGATGCAAGTGTGGACAATTCTTCAATTTAGTCTTAATTTGGGAGCCACTTTTCCACTGTTTTTTTAAAAGAGAATCAGCTGCAAATTGGACTGACTTGAAGAATTTTGTACCAGATTTATACAATCTTCAATTTTAAGACAAAATAGTCTTTCAGGTTAAGACTTTTTGGAATTTCAGGACCAATATCTCAATGATATGTTTCTTGCTCTCATAATTGTTAAATTGCAAGAAATACAGTATGCTGAATAACTGCACTGCATTAACTTCTACAGTAATTATAGCATGAGCAGATAACAATAAGCACAAGTGCAAGTCCTGAGATTGCATATGGATCTTTATTTATCATTATCATCCTTGGGTTTGATAAAGCACCTAGTCACATCATTGCAAAGTCTCAGAGCACTTTACAGGAGGCAAATCAATTTTTTGGGTGAACACAGCAACCGATTTGTGCACAGCAATGTCCCACAGACAGCCATGAAAGTGAATAATTAACTTTATTTGGGGGATTGTTGGCCAGGACACCAAGAGAAGTTCCTTTCTCTTTTCGAATAGTGCCATGGGATCTTTAACGTCCACCTGGACAGGCAGATGGAACCCTTGGTTTAATGCCTCGTGCGTAGGACAGCACCTCCAACAATGCAACACACCCCAGCACTGCATTAAATAATAAAAAAAAATCCTTGCATTTCAAACTCAAAACTATGATTTCAAAGCCCCAATGTGGGATTTGAACCAACAACCTTCTAACTCAAAGGCGAGAGTGCTATTATCAGCTGAGCAGGTTGACACTTAATTGTTTTATGTACTGTTTGTTTGCTGTGGCCAGAGTGTATATTCATTCATACTGCTTCTCATCTTTCAGAAATAGCAGTGTGATCATAGATGTATAGAAAACACATTTAATGTTTTCCATCACTGTGTGAGCCTGTAAGCAACTTTTACCAAAACTTTGCTAAGAAGATGAAATGAATAGAAAGTTTACTGCTGGTTTAACGTGAATCATTTACTTCATTCTGTTACTGTATTACAGGAAGCACAGTCACAGCAATCCAGTCCATGGTTTAGGAGAACTAAATTATCTGAAATCTCTGCTTTAGCCTGGATGTTAACATTGAGTGACGGTACCCATAACTTCATTGACGGCCTTGCCATTGGTGTTTCATTCACAGTATCCATAGCGCAGGGGTTCAGCACGTCTATTGCAATACTGTGTGAGGAATTTCTTCATGAGCTGGGTAAGAGAATTCAAAAAGATGTTTTAATCCATTTTACTTCCTCAAGGTGAACCCAGAACAAATATACAGTCAATTCACTTTACAGCATATTCTGTGAAGCGCTTTGAGACGTCTAGAAGATGTGAAAAGCGCTATATCAAATGCAAGGATTATTATTATTATCATTATAACAATAAACAACACATTGCACTTATATAGCACATTTTATATAGGAGGATGTCTTAAAGTGTTTCCAGATGCCTGGACTGGAGGGAAGACATGGGGGGAGGAGAGAGGCGGCTGAAGTTTCAGTCAAAGAGGTAGAATTTTACATGGCTTTTGAAAGCAGAGAGAGAGAGATGAGGGTGGGTAGAGCAAGCCAAACAGATTCAGAAGAAGGTACCAGAGAGCGGAGCAAAGTGCCAGAACATCCACTCACCAATGGTATCGCGGAGATGGTGGGTAACATGAAACAATCTTACAGATGAAGTAAGACTCACTTGTGAGCCAAACAATAACAGTCAGCTCCTGATTTCAATTGTGGTACTGTAGGTAGTATGGAGACCAAGCATTTTGAAACAGGAATTGACAACTCGTCCCCAGGGTGTTGGGGGAATCTCTGCAGTCCAATGGCATTTCCCTGCCTTTGGCTGCTCGAGAATAATCAAAGGAAAGAGAGCACAGTACCAAATGCTAGCCTTGTCATAGCTCTAGAGCTCTTGTGTTGGTCAGGCTGAGAATGGAGGAACTGAGAGATAATAATAATAATAATAATCCTTGCATTTGATATAGCGCTTTTCACGTCTTCTAGACGTCCCAAAGCGCTTCACAGAATATACTGTAAAGTGAATTGACTGTATTTTTGTGGGCGAACGCGGCAGCCAATTGCGCACAGCAATGTCCCACAAACAGTCATGGATTGAAAATGACCAATTTATTATTGTTTTTTGTTTTGGAGGGATTATTATTAGGCGTGTGGAGTAAGGAAACTTGAGATGGGCGGGATGAGCAGAATTAAGTTGGTGGGGAATGAGATTGTGGACTGTGTTAAGAGCACACTGATCATGACAAATTTCCAAGATATTAAATAAGTAATAAGAATTTTAGGTCGTAACTTTGAGCTAATTTGTATAAAAACTCGTGGTGCATTGTAGGTGATGAAAGTTAGAAATGTAGCTCATGGTAGGAACAGGAGTTGTGGGCTCAAACCCTACATTGGGACTTTGAGCTTACAGTCTAGACTGACATTGCAATGAGGTGCTGGAGTGTGCTGTACTGTCAAAGGTGCCATTCTTCAGATTTGACGTTAAACCAAGGACCTGCTGCCTGTTCAGATGGACATTAAAGATCCCATGGCACTACTCTAAAACAGAAGGGAGTTTATCCTGGTGTCCTGGCCAACAATCCCCCAAATAAAATTGATCATTCACTTCATGGCCATTTGTAAGACATTGCTGTGTGCAAATTGGCTGCTGTGTTCACCTACAAATTACACAGTCAAAAAACTTTGCAGGATATCCTGTGAAGTGCTTTGAAATGTCCTTCTGATATGAAAGTTGATGTATCAAATATTAAGATCATTATTATATTACAGCAACAGGAGGAAGGGATCGAAGATTTTGTTTTTTTGACGTGAGTTAAACTAGAGAGGGGGGAGAGATGGAGAAGCAGAGAGAGGTTAGTTCCAGAGGTTAGGGACATAGTAATTGATAGCTGGTAGTTGATCATTAATGGTGATACGGAGACAGAAAAGGATGTGCAGCAGGCATGAATGGAGAGGGTGAGCGGAAGAGTGGGGTAGGAAATGATCCCAGATAGGGAGGTACTAAAGTATGAAAGAATTTTTAGGTAAGTGTGATACACTTTATTTGGCAATGAAATATAATAATAATAATAATCCTTGCATTTGATATAGCGCTTTATCGTGTCTTCGAGACATTTCAAAGTGCTTCACAGAATATACTGTAAAATAAATTGATTGTATATTTTGTGGGTGTGTTAGATGTTTTGAAGGAAAAATTGAAAAGTTGAGCTAGATAGACCTATGTTAATTATGCAATGCTGAATAACAGGCTATTGAAGTACCACGATGATCTGTACCAGGTCCTTTATCACTCGTTAAAGGTGTAGAGGTGGGGACTGGGAGCCTTGTTTTTGGAGGATGTTTAGAGAAATGTTACATTTTGTGGAGAAGAAGCTAGAAATATTAACACAAACCAGACAAGTTGAACCCTGATAAAGCGGAGTTTAATATGAATAAGTGTAGAAATTAAAACTATTAATATTAAGGTTGATTAGAGGACCCCAGGTGAGGAATGATTACAGATGACACATACTGAAGCATATCATCAGTAATAAGGCACACACTGAAAGTAGCTTGCAATGAAATGTTAGTCTTGTTTAACCTAAATGTTCACTGTTTAACATGTTTTTCCTTAATTATTTTAGGAGATTTTATGATCCTTTTGAACTCAGGTATGACTATTCCCCAGGCTCTAACGTTCAACTTTCTGACAGCGTGTTCCTGTTACCTCGGTTTGACGTTAGGCATAGTAGTAGGAAACAACTTTGCTCCAAACTACATCTTCGGGCTGGCTGGAGGAATGTTCCTGTACATCTCTCTGGCTGATATGGTAAGATACTAACAGGAGAAATTGTGCTGATTAGTTAGCTGGCAATCGTTCAGAAGTATAAAATATGTCTTCAAATTAAATAAACATGTTTTAATTCTCAAAAGTGCAAAATGAATTGTTAGCATGTAGCACTCCAAATCAGATACAGCACCGACAAGACACAGATGTTACTGCAAAAGTTCTCCAAAGTTTCTTCCCTCACATCCAATTCGTTTCTTTTTTTAAAAAAGTGTGTACAATTATTCTCTTAATTTTCTCCCCATTGTCATATCATTCTCTGCTCCTTGCCTCCAGTCTTTGTTCTGAGGTTCTGGAGATTGAATCATGAAAGTAACATTTTTAGTATATTATATCAATGAGAGGAATCCCCTTAGATTATTCCCCTTGAAATATTGTAGAATGTTGAGTATATTTTAATTTTATATTTCCAGCTACTTCCAATATTGTTAACAATTATAATAAAATGTATTGTTTGAAATGAGTCACACAATGAAGGCAGAAGATACAATTATTTGATTGAACAGAACAAAAACATTTGTTTTATTATAAAAAGTTGCTTAAAAAAGAGTTTAAAGAACACTGGGGAAAGGTTTGCGCCGTTTCATTCCACATCCCTTGTGTTAATAGCACAGATATTGATTGACTATTGCAGGAGGCACCATAGTTAATACTGATCCTGTTACAAGATTGCAAGATTGGTTTGGATGAAGAAGGCCCTTCGGTCATTCTGATCTCATCCCTCCAAAACACCCACTCTCCTGTCCTTCCATCGCAGCATCAAGCTATTTAATAAATGAGACCAACCTCCAGACTTTAACCACCCTTCCCGCCAATCTGTTCTATGCATTAATTATCCTTTGGGTAAAAAAACACTTCCTGTTATCTGGTCTGAAATTGCCCTTTACAACCTAACACCTATGACCTCTTAATCTAGTGTTTCGGTGCATCCTGAAGAATTGTTCTGGGTTACTAATTCTATCCCATTTAAATTGTTTACACCTCTGAATTGTCTTCTCTTAAGACTGAAGAGCTCCAGCTTGTCTAATCATTGCTATCTTACCTGGCTAGCAGTCACTTTCCAACGGGGTTCTGTGATAGTGATCAGGAACAGGAAACCTTTCATGTACCTTCAGTCCACATAATTGCAGTATCCCCACTGTTTTCCTTTCTCAGAATGTGAACATATCTGGGACAGAATCTGAGACCTTCCTGATCTATGTGTTTCTATTCTGTGCGATGAATTTTGTGCATTCAGTACAATTCTGTGTGGTCTGTTTACTTGATTCAGTCTTATCCTCTTGAACCATTGTCAAAACCCTTTATACGAACTTCAAGATTTCGCCTACTATAGGGGATCCTTGTTAAATTGGGATCATCTGGGTCCACTGGCCACGTTGTAAGGAAAGCACTAAAAATGGCCAATTTCTGGGTTGTCAGGTCTCTGCTGACATCACTTCCTGCTTGTTGTTGCATGCACGATTTGGACAGAAAGCACCTCTGATATTGTTTCCTTTGCACAGAATGCACAGAAAATGATCTTATTAGTGACCTGACAAGCCCATAATTCTGCAATTTTTTACATGGGCAGTCAAGTAGTCAGTGCCAGAATCTGAGTGTAATGCATTTCTGGTAAAGCACAGATCTTCTGTGGAGTGCAGCGCTAAACAGAACAGGCCCACATTTATTTGTGCTATGATGTTTGTCACCAGAGATTTAATACTATTAACATAAAGAAAGTTTTGGTACCATAAAAAAAGAGCACTGTATGGTTTTGGTTTCTTCTGAAAATATAACGCCATATTTATTTTGTTTAGTTTCCAGAGATGAACCAACTCGGTAAAGAACTAGAAACTGGAAGAAAATCAGAAATAATAATATTTGTTATCCAAAATGTTGGTCTGTTTACTGGATTCAGTCTTATACTCTTGATAACTTGGTTTGCTGGTGATATCAAATTAGGCTAGGCAAGTAATAACCTAAAATGACACTTTAAGTTTTAATCATGTTAATGTGTAAATCATGTCACTAATTATCTGCTCCCTTGTTCTGTAGGTCAAGGTGTTATATAATATCATGTTAAATAGATAATGATGATCCCAGCATTTGGTATAATGGCATTGGTAATATTTCCGTAAAATGCTGTGCTTATCAGACTCAACCACTGCTTCCTGGGCACTCAGCCATATATGACAATTTAAAACAAAGTTGAGACAGAATAATTCTGTGTGTTCATCTACAAAACACAGTCTACAGAAACATCTTGTGAAGCACTTTGTCACGAAAGCTGCTATACCGAATGCAAGGATTATTATTATTATTAGGATAACTATAGCATTTTACAGATACCTTTGTGAAGCCCATTAACACATTTGGATAAAATAGATGCTAATAGATATAATGTGTCAATTGCAAAGATTATTATCATTATTATGTGTATCTTCAGATTAATAGAAATCCTCAAATCCTCCTCCTATAACTGCATCTCTCCAGAAGACTATGTCTTTGCAACTTGAAATGGTAGTGCCTTAGTTATCCAGAACCAGCAGCTCTGGATTTATACTTACATTGATTCAACATTGAACCCTGATTCCTGAGCTCTTTAATGGGATCCAATAGTTAGTCATTTCTAATGGGTTTCACCAAGGAAACCAAGTAGGGATACAGTATTTTGTCATTTCATAATTAGATTGTGATATGACAATAACACATCTCCACTTTGATTCATTAATTCCTTAGTGAAACCATTAGAAATGAATATATATTAGATCCCATGTATCATAAGATCTCATCACACTATTCAAAAGGAAGAGAATTTTCCCTGATTGATATGTTGACATGTTTGTTTGCTGTGTCAAACAGCTGCCACACTTGCCAAGAAAAGCTACACCTAACCTGAGAATGAAGAACCATGAAACATTCTGAGATATTTTGAAACAGCAAAGGGCTGTAAAAAATCATTTTTTTTTTACATGTGCTACTGGAGGGTTAGAATCATAAAAAGAGGCCATTCAACCCATCGAGTTGTGCCGGCTCTTAGAATAGAGCAATTAATGTCAATCCCACTCCCCAGCCCTTTCCCCATAACCCTGCAAACCCGTCCTCCTCAAAAACCCATCCACCGCGTTTTTAAAAGTAGTTATCGAATCGGCCTCCACCACCCTTTCAGGTAATGCGTTCCAGATTCGAACAACTCGCTGCATGAAAAAATTTCTTCTCACCTCCCCTCTGCTTCTTTTAGATACTATTTTGAATCTGTGACCTGAATCACTGACACACCCATCAGTGGAAACAGTTTTTCCCTTTCTAACCTTTCAAATCCCCTCATGATTTTGAAGACCTCTATTAGGTCTCCTCGTAATCTTCTCTGCTCCAATGAGAATAATCCCAGCCTCTCGTGCCTTTCCCCATAATCAAGGTCCCTCATTCCTGGTACCATCCTCATAAATCTCCTCTACACCCTTTCCAATGCCTTAACATCCCTCCTACAGTGTGGTGCCCAGAACTGGGCGCAGTATTCTAACTGAGGCCTAACCAGTGTTTTATATAGGTTAATCATAACCTCCTGACTCTTGTACTCTATGCCTCTATTTATAAAGCCTAGAATCCCATTTGCCCTTTTTACAGCCTTATCTACCTGTCCTGCCACCTTCAAGGATTCTTTTACCTGCACCCTAAGGTCTCTCTGTTCTTTTCCCCCCCTAAGATTGTATTACCAGCCTATATTGCCTCCCCTCATTCTTTCTACCAAAATGCATTACTTAGCATTTCTCTACATTGAAACTCATCTACCATGTGTCTGCCCATTTTACCATTCTGTCTATGTCTTCCTGCAGTTGGCTCCTATCCTTCTCACTGTTTACCACCCTACCCTACCGTTGAGAATTTGTTGTTTCTCTTCCTCTGTGGTTAACACATTTAAGAATATAATTTAAGAACAGAAACAATTGCACAAGGTCCTTCTGTGTCCTGACTGAATTGATGTAGCAACAAGGCAGCTTATGCTGATCCTTTCACTTCCTTTACTGTCTACCAGCTCCTCACCACTGGCACAGTTTTGATACTCTTGTCTAGGTTATTACATTAAAGCTGGTAATAAACCACCATTGTACTGAATATGGAGGCAATATAAAGTATAAGAATTGTGGTTTAGTTGAACAATACAAGTTATATGTGAGCGAGCAATGGGCTTCAGAAATGTTAATGTTAGTGATAGGACTTACTCTCATCTCTGATTACCAAGCAACATTTAGCACTTGTTTGTACTTTATTAACGGTGTTATTAAATGACTAAACAACAAAAATTACACTTCATACTAAAAAAAACTTTGTGAGAAGTGCTTTGATATATTCTGATGAGGTATATCAAACATTATTATTGTAAGAAGTATTATAATTTTCTGAGTTGCAGATAACGTTAATTGTATTTGTCTGTAGTGTTTCTGTGGAGATCTCTGTGATACATCCAGCAGATTGTATCTCTTTTGGTTTTGTTGGATCACAGTGTGCGGTACTAATAATGGTCTCCCCTTCCCCCATCCGACATCATCCTTTTTCCCCTTCATCTTCCTTGCAAATCACAATGACTCAGCTGGTAATATCTGAAGTGCTTTGAACGTGTGCAGATTAAAGATTGAATTTATGGAAAACTGATTTTGAACTGTGCATTGTGTGATGGAGCTATCACTGCTTGCCACATCATGAGATTTTTTTTGATCATGAAATTTGATGATAGAACCTGCTATCGATTGCTGTCTACTGTTATTGTTGTTGTTGTTGTTGTTGTTGTTGTCTAATAGGACATTCTACCAGAGGGAAATCACTGAAATAGAAAACTATGAAATTGTGAATTGTTTGCATAATAATAATTCTTGCATATGTTTCAGTGCTTTCACGTCAAGAGGACATCTCAAAGTATTTCATAGGATTTACTGTAAAGTATAGTCACTGAGTATTTTGTATGCGAACACACACAGTCCACGGAGTGTTACAAGGAACTGACAATACAATGGGTTGAATGACCTCCTAATATAGAACATTTCGTCAACCTGTCCCTCTCCTCTGGCTCTGTTCCCATTCCCTTAAAAACTGCCACCATCACTCCCACCTTGAAAAAACCCTCCCTCGATGCGTCGCAGCTATCAAGCTACCGGCCCATCTCCAACCTCCCCTTCCTGTCCAAGGTTCTGGAACGAGTTGTCGCCTCCCAGCTGCACTCTTTCCTCTCCACCCATTCATTATTCGAACCCCTTCAGTCGGGTTTCCGTGCTGCCCATAGCACAGAAACTGCCCTGGTCAAGGTCACCAATGACATCCTGACCATCTGTGACCAGGGCTCCTTCTGCCTCCTTGTCCTCCTCGACCTATCGGCAGCATTCGATACGGTCGACCACGCTATCCTCCTCCACCGCTTGTCCTCCCACCTCAACCTTCAAGGCCCTGTCCTTGAGTGGTTTAGGTCGTACCTCTCCCACCATCTTCACTTTGTTTCCACGAATGGCTTTTCCTTCAGCCCCCGCACTGTCTCGTGCGGTGTCCCTCAGGGCTCTTTCCTCGGTCCCCTCCTCTTCACCCTCTATATGCTCCCCCTGTGGTGACATCATCCGCAGACATGGGGTTAACTTCGGATGTATGCAGATGACACCCAACTCTACCTTTCCTCCTCTACACTCAACTCCACAACCACCGATGTCCTGACAGACTGCCTGTCCAACATCGAGTCCTGGACGAGAGACAACTTTCTTCAGCTCAACGTGCGTAAAACTGAGGCCCTCCTGATTGGCTCGCGTCAGCGCCTCCACTCCTTAGGCGCTGACAGCATCAGCATCCAAGGCTGCACTATAATAATAATAATAATAATCCTTGCATTTGATGTAGCACTTTTCACGTCTCAAAGTGCTTCACAGAACACACTGTAAAGTGAATTGACTGTATATTTGTGGGCGAACGCGGCAGCCAATTGCGCACATCAATGTCCCACAAAGAGTCGTAGATTGAAAATGACCAATTTATTATTGTTTTTGGGTTTTGGAGGGATTATTATTATTAGGCTCTTTGTGGAGTAAGGAAACTTGCCCAAGGTTTCACCCTCTGCCTGGAATTGAACTCAGGTCTCTTGCTTGCAAAGCGAGTGCTCTAACCACTGAGCTACAGGACTCCACACCTCTCAAAGCCAGTCAGGAACCTCGGTGTTCTGTTCGACCGTGAGCTGTCCTTTCTCCCTCATATCCGCGCCACAACTGGCACCGCCTTCCATCACCTCTGGAATATCGCCAGACTACGGCACTACCTCACCCCTCACGCGGCTGAAACTCTGGTCCACACCTTTATCACCTCAAGGCTGGACTATGGGAACTCTCTCCTCACCGGCCTTCCCGGCACCTCCCTCCACAAGCTGCAGGTCATTCAGAACTCTGCAGCTCGTGTACTGTCCCGCACCAGGCACCGCGACCACATCACTCCCACCCTCGCTCGCCTCCACTGGCTCCCCATCCCCCAGAGGATCGAATTCAAGATCCTCATCCTCACCTACAAGGCCATTCACGGCCTCGCTCCCTCCTACCTCTCCGACCTACTATCCCCCTACTTACCTGCCCGTACCCTCCGTTCCTCTGGCTCCAGTCTGCTCCACATCCCCCGCCCCAACCGCCCTACCATCAGTGGCCGGGCCTTCAGCCTCTCAGCCCCGAGGCTCTGGAACTCCATCCCCCAGTGCCTTCGCCGCCTCCTCCCTTTCCTCCTTCAAGGTCGGTCTCAAGACCTTTCTCTTCAACCGTGCCTTCAGCTCCCCTCTCGACTCTCTACCCCCTCCTCGCTCCCTCCCTTCCCTCCCCCTGACCATTTCCCCCCTGCTTGGGTCCTGACCCAACTGTCCAGCGCCTTGGGACGTCCTCCCGACGTGAAAGGCGCTCTATAAATGGAATCTTGTTGTTGTTGTTGTTCTATGGTTTCAATCTAAGAGACTATCTCAGAGGTCAAATCAGTGTGATAAACCAGGCTCAAACTTCATGGTATAATCCCAGCCCCTCAATGTACTGTCAATCTGCAGTCTGTGTGCTGTATTGTGCAACATTCATGAATATTGATGTACAGATGATAAAATCATGTAATATGAACATAGGAACAGGAGGTGGCCATTCAGCCCTTCAAGCCTGTTCCACCAGTTAAATAGATCATGGCTGATTTGTACCTCAACCAATCCTTTCAATTCCAATTTCCCGCTTTCTCCCCATATCCCTTAACA